TCTTGGTTGACAGTTTTTTTCTTGCAGGGTTTTGTATATGTCTCTCCATTGCCTTCTTGCCTGCATGGTTTGTTCTGAATAGTCAGCGCTTAATCTAATTTGTTTACCTTTATAGGTTATGTTTCTCTTCTCCCTGGCTGCTTTTAGTATTCTTTTCTTGTCTTTGGTTTTGGAGAGCTTGATTATTATATGTCTTGGAGACTTTAATTTGGGATCTATCCTTCCTGGGGTACGCTGGGCTTCTTGAATGTTTGTCTTCTCATCTTTCAGGTTGTTAGGGAAGTTTTCTTCCAGAAGCTCTTCAACTATTTCCTCTGTGGACTTCTTTGATTCTTCTTGATCTGGGAGGCCAATAATTCTTACATTGTTCCTCTTCATGTTATCCAGCATGAATCTTAGACTGTCTTCAGATTGTTTTATCATTTTAGTTGTTTGCTGTTCTATCTTAGCAATATTGAGAGATTTGTCTTCCAGCTCGCTAGTTCTGGCTTCCATCTCTTCTAGTCTGCTACTTTCCCCTTTCAGGCTATTGTCTATTTCTGATATCTTATTATTGATCACCTGGACACCTTTTTGCTGGTTTTGAATTGTTTCCAATGCTGTGTCAATCCTATTAGATTGTTCCTGCAGGACTTTCCTTACTTCTTCCTTATTTTCCTCGACCCCTTTTCGGAGTATTTGAATTTGTTTCCATATCATTCTTCTGAATTCCCTCTCAGGCATATCCAGAACCCACTCCTCCTCCTCTATAAAGCTTTTGTCTGTCTCCAGCTCATTTGCATCTGCTGGCCTCTTTTGCTTTTGGACGTGTTTCGATAATGTTAATTGTTTCTTGTTGGGCATTATTATTCTTGTTTTATTGTAATTATCATTAATATGATCAAAAGATAGGTGTCTCTTGCTGTCTGTAATGTGCAGTAGGTATGGTTAGGTCTTGTCTATGTAGTGGCCACAGTGGGTGGGACGGCGGTCATGTGGGGTCCGCTCTGGTGGCACGGGGTCCGGCAGGGCGTGCTGTGTGTCACGTGGAATCTGGCAAGCAGGGCGGGTCCCACAGGGGTTCTGGGAGGCTGGGCGGGGGTCTTGCTTGTTATGGCTTGTAGGTGGGGTCAGCGGGGTGCGGGTGTGCTGTCTGAGGTGGAGGGAACGATTCCGTGGGGGAGCACGGGGTCGGAGGTCGGGGCTGAGCTTGTGCGGGGGGCCGGGGGGGTGGGGTGGGGCTAGGTCGTGCGTGATCAGTCAGGCAGGGTAGGGCTAGCGATGGGTCCTGTGGGCAGGGTGGTGCTCGCACGAGGTCTGGCAAGCAGTGTGGGCCCATGGGGGGTTCGGGCAGCCTGTGTGGTGCTCTCGCTTGTTATGACGTATGGGTGGGGTCAGTGGGGTGCGGGCACGATTCCATAGGGAAGCGCTGGGTTGGAGGTAGGTGCAGGGCTTGTGCAGAGGCTTGGTGGGTGGGACTGGGTCAGGCAGGGCTAGCGGTGGGTCCCGTGGGCAGGGCGGTACTCGTGCAAAGTTCGGCAAGCACTGTGGGGCCGGTGGGGGGTTTGGGAGGCCTGTGTGGGGCTCTAGCTTGTTATGATGTGTGGGTGGGGTCAGCAGGGTGCATGCGCATTCCAAAGATTAGGGCACGCTCTGGTGGGTGCTCGCTTTCCAGTTTGGTCAGAGTCTGGGAAGGCAAGGGTGCGGGGATCGAGAGGGTAATGGGGCAGGTGAGTGTGGTTCAATTGCGCAGGGTAGAGGCTGCTCAGGTGGGCGGATACAGTCTGTGCCTGATGACGTCAGACAGTCGCCATTTTTTTTTTTTTTTTGTTGTTGTTGTTGTTTTGTTTTGTTTCTTTCTCCTGTCTGTGTTAACTGACTTTTCTCTGCCCACTGCAAGTGCCGAAATTACATTTTAGGGCAGAGGTCCCTCTCCTTCTCTTCCCCTTTCTCCAGTGGCTCCCCCTGCTCAAGGCTCCCTGTTACTGGAAGCACCGCTGACTGCACGAGCTGGTTCCAGCCCTGCCCCCCAAGCTCAAAGGAGTTGGGGCTGTCGCTGCACTCAGCAGCGAGCACAAGTTTAAAAAGCCAGTAGTTCCTCAGTATGGTGATATTTTTAAAAAGCGAGTTTAAGATTTTGAAGTACTGAGACTTATGGGGTCTGTAAGGGTGTGGGTTCACCACAGGAAGGTTTCTTTTGTGAGTTCCCCCTCCCCCCTGAACCTGGAGCCCCTCTTACCCATTCCGTCTGGCCGCCATGTCAAACTGGAAGTGAGGATATAGTTCTATTTAATCTTGTGGCAAAGCACTTTTTAGTGTACTAGATCTTGGCATGAAACAGGAAGTAAATGATCAGGTTGGTGGAAAGACATTAACTCATCTACGTATCTTTGTTATTCATTGTTTTATTTAGTATTTGGTTCCTAAGATCTCTAGGTGTCTCTGCTCCACCTAGACACGCATAGTCTCTAACAGGCTCTGGTTCCAGGTAGGGATATGTTTCTCATTGTAAGTAAGTGAGTCCCTGTGGCTCCTTAGGGGATGATCTGGAAGCCAATGACCCATTGAGAGTGTAGATTTTTTGGAAAATTCTCCTTGGTGGAGCAAACATACTGCTCTCAAATTTTCAAACATATCAGTGAGAAGTGAGAAGTGGAACTGTAGTTAGATATAACTAACAGTGTAACAAAACTCATCCACAGTAACTTATTTATTACAGAAGTAAATGCTCATGACTGTTGATGAAGGTTGGATTTGTAACCTTTGTGGAGTTATATTTTATATACAGTTGATTTCCATTTACAATAGCATAAAGTCCTTGTTTAATATAATGTCAACCTCTGACTTAAAAACTCCTGGTTTTTTTTTTTTTTTTAGGTTGTGTGTGTGTGTGTGTATGTTTAAGAAAATGGTTGGCCATTAGAGAAGAGAAAAAGAATTTGACATGGGGAAGAAAAGACACCACATTTTAGAAATCTAAACTAATGACCAAACAATGGAGGGAATATCTTGGAGATCTTAGTAGAGAATAACCTATACCAAAGGCTTTTTCATTTATGTACTTTCTTTAGGAGCAGAAGGGACTAGAAAAACTGACTTTTTTCAACAGAGTGTGAATCTGGAAAGTCTTAAAACTAAAATCGTCATTTTGTGCTGCAGAGCTGCACTTTCCCTATGTATGATTAAATTAAAAATTAAGTGCTTACCTGGGAGCTTCAAGGATACTTGTAAGCAAATAAGATTAATTAGAAGTCTTCATAGCCTCTAATTAAAAGCAAGGGAGCAACTCACTCAGTGATAAAAGGATTCCTGGCTGTTTTGAAGAGCTCTATAGAAAAGGACCATAATTCCTTACTGGAAGCTTTTATTTCCAGAGTGCCGAAGTCTCTATTCTAAATAGTGCATCACTGCAGAAGGTTGAGGATACATAGATCCAGACCTTGGTACCCACAGACATGGCCTTTAAAAGACATTTGGGACAATTAATACAGGCAATAGGGAGAGGCAAGTATTTTAGCACCAATTGTACTTGAAAAATGAGACCCTGGGTGGCACAGTGTTTAAGTACTTGACTACGAACTGAAATGTTGACAGTTCAAATGCATGCAGCAATCAATGAGCACAGCCAATGAAGACCCTTTGGAGCATAGTTCTACTCTGACATACATGGGGTCACTGTGAGTCTGAATCGATTTGAGGAAAGCTGATTTGGTGTGGTGTTTTCTTTTTTTGGTTATTTGTTTTTGGAATCTGGGAAAATGTCATTTAAATGGAATCAGAGCCCACATGGGAATAAGCTGGGAAGCACTTTTATTCAAAGCAAATAGAAAAGTTGAGATAAATATTTTCTTTTCCTTACCCAATGGTAGAACCTTCTTTTAGATTAGGATATGATTGGGGAGAGAAAGTGAGTCAGTCATGGGAGAAGGGTGATACCAAGAGAGAGACAGGGCATGTGCTGAAGGAAGGAGGAGGGGAAGGAGCAGGCAAGTTTGCTTTGCTGAATAAAGAATATCTTCAAAGTCGTATTCTGCTACCTTCCTCCATCCAGACAATTTGGATGAAAAAGTACTTTCTTTTAACACAATTCACTTCTAATTTTCTATGGTGATATAATATGGCAAAATCAGGCCGACAATAACTACAGTATTTCTAAAATGAATCTTTGGCAAAAATGTGGGCCTGAAAAATTTCAGATGATTTTCTTTCAATCACGTTAACAAAACAACCAAATCATGGCTCTGTAGGGTTGTTATATCCATGAGGTGTTTAAAGTTTTCTTTTATCTACTTGTAATAATCAGGCATTCAGAGGTACATGTTGGTTCTAATAGCTTTGGCAGAAGCATGCTGAAAGTAGAAGTGAACATAAAACATCTTGTCTTTAGGCTGATTTGGTATGAGTTTGTAAGGCCTGAGTAAATTGGAAGCTAGCACATTTTTTGGAAATAGTACAGATGAACATTAGACACACAGGTAGAGTAGCAGATTCAGAAAGGTCAGTATCGTATTCCAATGTTCTGTAAAAGGCCAGCGATACCGAAAGTGAATTCCTTTTGGGTCTCCTGCAACGATCTCCATCAACTTCGTGTTCACAGAAGGAGATGTGAAAAGAAAGACAGGTTCTGACTCTGTCTCTAGCACAAAGCTGAAATCCAAGCTCAGCATTTTCACAGCGTGTGCAATGAGGATGCTTCTGGTTGGCAGGGGTTCGTGGCAGTGGCTGACTAGAATGTGGTGCTTGGGAGGACTCCTGAAGTGAAGGAGCAGTCTCAAGGTGAAGTGAACTCCTTCTTGGTCATACCCTCCTTTCTGACTTGAGCTTGGGTCCAGGCATCGGCTGCTGTTCTTACCCTTCAGTGGGGTTCAGGCGGGTCTCAGCAACCTCAGACAACTGTGCAGCAGCTGTGACACTCAGAGCAGCAGCTTTTCTTTTTCTTGGGGTGGAAAATGGTGAGGATTGCTTCATCGAAAACTGCTTTGAGACCTTTCTGAGTCAGGGCTGAGCATTCCAAGTAGCACTGTGCGCCGATCTTAAACACAAAAGAGAAAAGGGCATGAGGTTCTTCTGCTTGGTAAGGAAAGAAAGGACAGTGATTTGAGCCCTCTGCCCTGCTAAGTACAACAGCTCTGACCCACAGGTGTGACTGGGTGCTAGTTTAGATATCGTGTTTTTCTTTTAAATTTGAATCTGCTCTTCTAATGTTTATGTGTTTTCATTTGGATAATTTTTGCATTCCTCCATTAGCAATGAAATCCCTGCATGGTGCAAATAATGAATACCCTTGGTTGCTAACCTAAAGCTGGGAGGTTTGTGTCTACCTGGCGTACCTGGGAAGAAAGTCCTAGCAATCTACTTCCCCAAACTCAGCCACTGAAAATTCCATGGAACAAAGTTCTATTCTAACACATAGGGAGCCACATTGAGTCGGCTGGCAACTGGTTTTTTTGTATTAGCAATAAATGGTTGTAGATCACTTTTGGTAAACAATAGATTCCCAAAGGGATCCACAGCCATTTAGTCCTAAAGTAATATTAAAAATAAAACAAACAAACAAAAAAAACCCTACACAAATGTAACAAATTAAGAGATCAGATTTAAATGCATTTTGTGAATGATATGGTTTTTCATATCCTCTCATTTATATGAAGAATGTATAAATCACATGCAAGTGAAATGTGTTGCCTTCTGTATGTGGTGAGGCAAACTAGGCTGAGGAAGCAGGAGGACAGAGCCGATGGTATGGTTTTGTAGGCCGGGTTTGATTAACATGTGTTTCTGAATAAGGTATTTCTCAACAAAGTAATGTCTGCTTGGCATTATTATTGAGTTGTAACATATTTTAGAAGATGACGGTTTTGTTTGTTTTTTTAAATACATAAAAATAAAATCATAACTGACAGACATTCACTGAAAGACATCTTTTTTGTCAGTATGGGGTCTATGCATATTTTGTTAAGTTCCATTGAGTTTGTTACAACTCATAGTGACCTTGTATAGGGTTTCCAAGGAGTGGCTGGTGGATTTGAACTGCCGATGTTACTATAGGTCCAGTGTTTATTCTACAGCGGCACAATTATGGTGGTTGTTGCTAAGTGCTGTTAAGTCAGTTCCAACTCTTACCAACCCTATGAGTATAGGGTTTCTGGGTAATGGCTGATGAGTTGAAGCATCAACCTTATTGTTAGCGGTCCAGTACTTATCCTACAGCACCACATTAGGATTTCTAGTACATGGTTGTTATTGTTGTTGTTAGGTGCCATCGAGTCAGTACTGACTCATAGCGACCCTATGCACAACAGAACGAAACATGGTTAAGGCCTTCTTTTTAAGCCTTTGATGACTCCATACTATGGTGTATTTAATAATCACAAAACCTCTGTGTGGAATATTGAATTCAGACTAGAATTATAGATTCTTGTTCAGAAATCAGAAGCCAGTGCCAACCAGTTTCATGTGGAAGAGACCTGGTGGTAAGAATCAGTTACAAGCTCAGCATGAACCACCAATATGATACAGGCATTTAATATTCAGGTCATTTGGAGAAATGTTTCAATTTTATGTTTCACATTATCAGTATAACTTTGAAAAATAAAAGCAGACCCAGTAGAGGGTGGCTGGATGGTAAGCTCTTAGTAACCAGGGCAGATAAATAACTAAAACATGATAGCAAATTCAGATCATTACTAAGGCCAGTAGTGTAGTGGTTACGAATCTAGCTGCTAACCTCAAGGTCAGCAGTTCAAAACTACCAGCTGTTCCGTGGGAGAAAGATGAGGCTTTCTGCTCCCATAAAGATTTACAGCCTCAGAAACCCTATTCAGGGTCACTATGAGTCGGAACCGACTCCACGGCACACTATCACCACCACTACCACCAGTGCAAGGCAATAAGGAAGAGGCAGGGATTGCAGTGGATTCTAAAGTATATGACCCATTGAGAGTGGCTGGTCTTAACTCCACTTTAGACAATTGTTGACCGATGGGAATGTTGGTTCACTATTGCCCATCTTTATATTTTTCAAAGGGAGCTAGAAATGTGGATGTTAATTTATTATTTACCAATTAAGAACAAAACCAGGAAATCACATGGTGCATTGCAATGGGAAAATCTACTACACATAACCTATTAAAAGTGTTAAGGAGCAAAGATGCCACTTTGAGAACTAATGTGTGTCTGACCCACTATTTTCAAATGCCTCATATGCATGTGACAGCTGGACAACGAATAAGGAAGACTGGACAAGAATAGATGCATTTGAATTACGGGATTGGCGAAGAATATTGAAAGTACTATGGACTGCCAGAAAAACCAACAAATCTGTCTTGGAAGTATAGCCAGAATCCTCCTTAAAATTGAGGATGGTGAGGTTTCATATCAAGTACTTTTACCATGCTATCAGAAGGGACCAATCCCAAGAAAAGTACTTAAGTAAAGTAGAGGTTCACTGAAAAAGAGGAAGACCTCCAGTGAGATGGACTGACAGAGCAGCTACAACAATGGACGTTTCAAATCTGACAATGATTGTGTGGATGGTGTAGGACCTGGCAGCTTTGTTCTGTGAGTTCTAACTGATTCAACAACAACAATGTTAAGAACACTTTCTCTGGACCAAAGAAAACACTCTTGTGAAGATGTGCTTGACAGGAACTAGTCAGTAGGCACTATCTGGACTAGAGGAACTTGTGGTTTGGCTTAGAACAGAGTTGAAGCAGACCCAGAAGGTGAAGTGAGTTGTTTAAGGGCACCCAATGAGAAAGTGAAAAACCTAGCCCTACAGTTGAGATCTCTTGAGAATGTGTTTTACCTTGTTTCCTGGCAGTAGCTATGACTTATCATCCAACTCTGTAAGAAGCTAGTCAATTGTAATTAGCAAATGAAATTGCCTACTCATTTGGAAGACCACAGATATGTAAACAAACCACAACTTGTGTTGCTCAGGGGCTTTGCTGAGTCCAGAAGAAATATTTCCTAAACTGTGGTGCTGTAGGATAAGCACTGAACTGCTAATTGCAAGGTCGGTGGGTCAAGCCCATTTCTTGTCCTTAGAAACCTTATACAGGCACAATATGAGTCGAAATCAATTTGAATGTACTTAATAACAACAACATTTCCAAAAGACATTACATATATATATTTTTTTTTCTTCCTGTAGAGAATGGTTAACATATGAGCCAAAGGAAAATAGCAAAAGATGTTGGATGTTGAAAATCTGTTTTATGGTTTTTATTGTCTTTGGATTAGAAAGTAACTTTTAAAACTGTATAATTACAAACAGATGGATGAAGAGAGGAATAAAGGGCAGAGAAAAATTTCCTAATGGTGTCATGAAGTGTTATCGGTTGCATCTTGGGATTGTGTCCAATGCTTGACATGAGCACAGATAAAGAGCACCTGTATCAACTGAATGACCGTACGTGAGGGCTCTCATCAGCCATACTGAAAAGTACCCAGGAAGTTCTGGAGTTGGGGGCTGTGCTCTCGGGAATAGTTCCCCATCAACGATCACAAGCCTCAGGTTCTTTGATTCTGGAAATGCCAAGTGAGCCAGGCTGAGCTCAGCTCACACACGGGACTGTGCTGTATCTGATCCTGCACAGGAGACAGACTCTCCTCTCCCAGAGAGCATCTGACAGCCTGTCACCGTTGGCCTTTTGATGGTACAGGAAGAAGCTACCCCTGTCTTTTCCAATTTAGTCATTTCTGAAGATAATGAATCATTAGATAACGGGATTATTGTGACTGGGTTAATATAACGTTGTGTTTACTGAAAGTTCCAGGAAAAGTAGCAAACAGATTTTGGGTGTGATCTGGACAAATAGGTGTGAGAGATAGAACCAAATTAAGAGGGAAGTATTCTTCACCATTTATCAAGTGCTTGGAGGGTGAGTGAATTCAGTCTGGCTCAGGGAAAGGCAAAGTCCAGATCACCACAAAAATGTGAAGTGGAAAAATTTCTCAAGGAAATGTGGCTTTTCTTACAGTAACAACTTCATAGGCCTCTTGGGGTAAAGTGATCTACACAGACAAAAATTTAGACTCCATTTGTAAGTGCTTAGGATTTGAGAATCCTTGCTCGCATACACATGTTAGCAATCTGGAATGTGCTGGTTTTCAGAAACTACAGATTTAGGAATGTAAACTGTGAGTGAACATTTTTTGTTTTTTTTTTCTGGTAATTTTATAATGTTGTTGTTAAGTGCTGTAGAGTCATTTCAGACTCATAGTAGTAACCCTGTATAAGGTTTCCAAGGAGCAGCTGGTGGGTTTGAACCTCTGGCCTTGTGGTTCACAGTCCAGTGCTGATCCTACAGCACTGCACCAGGAATCCAATTTCATAACAGTAACTAAAATATAATGTCTCAAAACTGGGAAATTTATGAGAGATGTGCAGATGATACAAGATTCCAAAAGAAGAAATTAAACAAAAACCGCATGATTATTAATCACGTGAAAGGAAACCTAATATGTCTTCCAGGTAGTCCTGGATATGGTGGTGGGGCATGTTCTAAAATAATATACAAACTAGCTGGAGGCAACACGAAATTACCAATGTTCGATTTATAGGCAATTCTTACTGGTCCTATAATGCAGGTCTTCAAACAGGTCCTGTTGTGGCTGATGAAGGGAAACAGGAACAGACCTGAATTTTTACAATTTAAGTGATTCAACATGATAACCAGGGTAGGAAAATATTACAGGTCGAAAGCCTGGAATGGGAGACTCAGAAGAGGTGTAGTGAGTCTTTCAGGAGCCTGATGTGTAAGATTGGATTATTGGCAGTACTGTGGAAAACTATGCACATTCAGACTGGCCACTACACTATCTGTCAGCAGGACACTGCTGTCTTTGAGCACGACAATGCAGTTCCAAAGCCCTGCTTTAATGTTAAGAAAATTTGCCCTTACTTTGAAACAACTGAATCAACCCCTTGTTATTGTTAAGTTGTTAAGTGCATTAAGTACCATTTCATAGTGACCCTGTATAGGGTTTCTGAGGCTGTAAATCTTCGCAGGCACAGAAAGTCTCATC